AGGCTGGTTTCGAACTCCTGAGCTCAAACAATCCGCCCGCCTCGGCCTCCCAGAGAGCTAGGATTACAGGCGTGAGCCACCGCGCCCGGCCTGGAATAGTTCTTAAAAGTAGTAAATGAGCTAAAGGGTTTAACATGCTTAAGACTTAAGTATTCTCCTAGGGTAGATTCCGTTCTGAAAATGGAGTGGGCAACTCACCACTTTCTGAGCAGTCCTGCAGCAGCCAGAGGCAATGAAAGTAGCCCTCTGCCCTTCGAACCTGGGCAGTCCAGAGGCGTAGGTCCCAGTGCTGGCACTCTGTCTTCTGGGCCGGGGGCTGCTGACCCCACCTTGCCTGCCTCATGGCAGGTGGGTTGCAGGATGGCCCTGGGCACACCTGCTCCCTACGAGATGGCTGGTTCCTGCTCAGGAGGTCGCTGCAGTAGGTAGAGGGCACAGCTCAGCTCAGCTATCTGTAGCTTCCTCTCCCCATCACCCCCAGGCACAAGCTGGCTGACCAGCCGACCAGGAAATCTCTGGGCCGAGGGGAGTTCCGCCTCCTGCACTATGCCGGCGAGGTGACCTACAGCGTGACAGGTGAGGATCCTGGGACAGGGTCCCTACGGGGCCAAGGAGGGGAAGCTCTCCCTCACCTCACATCTGCTCTCTCCTCCCAGGGTTTCTGGATAAAAACAATGACCTTCTCTTCCGGAACCTGAAGGAAGTGAGGAGGACATGGGGGTCGGGGGGCTCAGGATGGGGGCTGGGGGAGTGCACAGCTCTGCACAGGAACCTGCCCCGCCTGCCCCCAGGCTCCCACCCTGACCCCTCCTCTGCCCGCACAGACCATGTGCAGCTCCCAGAATCCCATCATGAGCCAGTGCTTCGACCGGAGCGAGCTCAGTGACAAGAAGCGGCCGGAGACGGTACAGAGGACGTGGGACCCAGGGGGGCACGTGTGTGCCTAAGCATGAATGAGTGCCCGCATGATCCCGGGAGCTGGCAGTGTGTGTTTGAGCGTGTGTGTTTGTTCGTGCCTGTGTTCACATCTGCGTGTGTGTGCAGGGGGCTTTGTGGGCCCGTGCGCGTGTGCCTGTGTCTATAAGGGCATCCATGTGTATACACCTGTCTGCGTGGGCGTCATACATTTACACCTGTCTCCGTGGGTGCTTTCACGTGTTCACCGACTCAGCAGACATTTGTAGCAGACATTGCTAAGCACTGAGGATACAAAAATGAATAGGTGCACTCACAGAAATGTGTGCAGAGTGCTTTGGAAACTTAGAAGAGGGAGCAACAAACTGCCTGAGGGAGTGGAAGGAGTGAGGGGGTCAGGGAAGGCTCCCCGGAGGAGGAAACATAAGGGATAACCAGGGAATGAGTAAGTGCTTGTCAGATGGACCTGTGGGTAGCAGGAGAGCCCAACACAGACACACAGCCCAAAAAACACCAGGAGGTCTGCAGGAGAGCAATACCGTTGAGCAGAGGGGCTGGGAAAGGCAGGTGTGGCCAGTGGTGCCAGATGCAGGGAGAGCTCCGGTGAGGTATGGCTGTTGGGCTTGGCAAGAGGAGGGTCAGGGCTGCCCCAGGAAGAGCAAGGTCAGCATGGAGGTGGGAGCCAGACTGCTGAAGGCTGACCCATGCTCACCAGGGAGGGCATGAAGGCGTGTTGCCCAGGGTCTGGCTCCCTGGGACCTGCCCTCCTCACCCTCTCCCTGAGCACCCTCATTCTCCTGGCCTCAGTGTCTCCCTGCTGAGGACGCTTGCACACCCACTCTGCTCAGGCCTTGACAGCAAGCCACAGATTCGAGTATCTAGCGATCTCCCCCCAGGGGCTCCCAGGCACCCCAGATTCCTGGTCTGTAACCAGTGGGCCCTTGGCTGGGCATCACTGGGCATGACTGGGCGTTGCTTGACATCACTGGGCATCTCTAGGCATCGCTGGGCATTGCTTGGCATCACTGGGCAGGCTCCCAGGCTTTCTCCTTCTCTGTCACTAACTCAGGACAGGGATCACCTTCCACTAGTCCCCCAGGCCAGAAACATGGGCATCATCCGTGGTCATGATTCTTCACTCTACCCTGTCTCCCTCATCCAAGCATTGGATCTTGGCTGTGGCTATTGCCTGAGTACTTCTCAGCTCCTTCCCTACAAGCCCTGCTCCAGCTTGGGCCTTGTTATCTCTCCTCTGAGCTAGCCGGCCTCCTCCCTGGCATCCCGGATTCCCACCTGCCCCTGCTGGCCCATCCTCCACACATCTGCTGTGGAGATATTCCAAAGTGCATGTCTGTTTCTGTCACTCTCTTATTACAGATTCTTCATTGGCTCCCTATTTCCCTCAGGCTAAAATCCAGTCTCCCCAGAGTGACCCTCACATGATACTGCCTTTGCCTATCTCTCTAATGCCTTTTTTATTCCCTGCCTTGATTCTTACACTGCTTGGAGCTCCCTGTGTGCATCAAGCCTTTGCTTAGCCTGTCTTACCTAGAATGCCTTTCTCTCCTCTCTTCCTTCTGGCCATTTCCTGCTTATCCTTTGAATCTCACCAAAGGTCATTTCCAGAAGGCCTTTCCTAATGCTCCCTACCCCACAGACTGGATTACTTGTCCCTTCTTGGTGCTCCCAGAACCCCCGGCCGTACACCCCTATTGTTAATGGGACCACAGGGATTGCAAACCTTTGCCAAGGAGGCAAAATCTTTGCCCACAGGCCTGAGATCCTTGAAGGCCCTGCAAAGCAACGTACAGAGATAATGGTTGAATGCGTAGCATGCGTAGCGTAGGACACACTGGTTAGGAATGTATCCCTGAAGTTCCAGAAAGGAAAAGAGTGTTTGCTAAAGGGAGATGTAGGATTGAGGTTGCTGAGAGACCTGAGCAGGACTTTTAGGCTGGCATGAGGTTCCTAAGCTGAGGTCTCTAGCCCAGCCCAGGATATAGGGTGGAGTCTGGCCCCTCCTCTGTTGTGAGGGTGGGGTGTGGGAGGAAGTAAGGGCCCCCAGAGGCCAGGGCCTGCTGACAGGTCAACAGCTGGGGGTGGGGGTGGGGGAGCGACGATGCAGGGGTCAGTGGCTTCGGCCCATCTCTGGCCAACCTAACATTCCCCCTTGGCTTGCCAGGTGGCCACCCAGTTCAAGATGAGCCTCCTGCAGCTGGTGGAGATCCTGAAGTCTAAGGAGCCCGCCTACATCCGCTGCATCAAGCCTAATGACTCCAAACAGCCCGGTAGCCCCTCCCGCCCCATGGGGCTTGGGGGCTGGGCCTCCCCTGCAGGGCCAGCTGTCAGCCAAGCCTGCTGATCACCCCGTTACCCCTCCCCCAGGCCGCTTTGATGAGGTGCTGATCCGCCACCAGGTGAAGTACCTGGGGCTGATGGAGAACCTGCGCGTGCGCAGAGCCGGCTTTGCCTATCGCCGCAAATACGAAGCTTTCCTGCAGAGGTGGGGCGCCTGGCACCCCGCCAGAGGAGAGGGAAGTTGGAGGGTAGGAGCCTCCTAAGTCCCACGAGAGAGGACAAGGATTCTCCGCTCCATTTTAATTTTTTAAATTTTTTTATTTTTAATTTTTATTTTTTTGAGACGGGGTCTCAGTTGTGTTGCTGGTCCAGAAACTCCTGGGGAGCAATCCTCCCCTCACAGCCTCCCAAGTAGCTGAGATTGCAGTCAGGTGCCACCAAATCCGGCTCTCAGTCCCATTTTATTTTATCCTATTTTATTTATTTTTTTATTCATCTTGAGACAGTCTCACTCTGTTGCCCGGGCTAGACCACAGTGGCATCAGCCTAGCTCACAGCAACCTCAAACTCCTGGGCTCAAGCAATCCTTCTGCCTCAGCCTCCCGAGTAGCTGGGACTACAGGCGTGCACCACCATACCTGGCTAATTTTTTCTATTGTTAGTTGCCCAGCTAATTTTTCTATTTTTAGTAGAGACGGGGTCTTACTCTTGCTCAGGCTGGTCTCGAACTCCTGAGCTCAAGCAATCCTCCCGCCTTGGCCTCCCAGAGTGCTAGGATTATAGGCGTGCGCCACTTTGCCTGGCCACTCATCATCTTTAAAATGGGGTCAGTGACAGAGCAACCTCCTGGGCTTTCCGTGAACCCTGAGCAAGTCAGTGGGAGCACCCAGCAGGTGCCCAGGCAAAGCTGATTTGGGCCCCCAGTGAAGGGTGCTGGCTGAGGTGGGGGCTGGGTACATTCCTGCTTCTCCTATCCCAGGTACAAGTCGCTGTGCCCAGACACATGGCCCACATGGGCAGGTCGGCCCCAGGATGGGGTGGCTGTGCTGATCAGACACCTGGGCTACAAGCCAGAGGAGTACAAGATGGGCAGGTGAGTGGTGCCCATGCCTGGTATCTGGGGAGGTGGGGGTGGCAACCCAGGGCTGATCACTGCTGCCCTCAGGACCAAGATCTTCATCCGCTTCCCCAAGACCCTGTTTGCCACGGAGGATGCCCTGGAGGTCCGGCGGCAGAGCTTGGGTGAGAGAGAGACCCACCCTTCCTGTCCCATTGGGGGTCCACTCTGGGAAGCAGGAAGAAGTTGCTGCTTTGGGGCTCCTTCTCCAGGAAGTCCACTGGCCCATGTTCCGCTCCCCTCCTCCTTGCCAGCTCTAGCCTGAGCCCGACCCCGCCATCCTGCCTGCCTGCTGGAGGCAAACTCTGGGCATATGCCCACATTCATCTGCTGTCTTTCATTCACTCTCCTTTAACTCATTCACCCTCTCAACTATTCACGTCACTCACTGAGCTCGGGCAGTGCCAGGCTCCCAGCTGGCTCCCTGAGCTCTGGCCAGTGACTTTCTTTCCCAACCACAGCCACGAAGATCCAGGCCGCCTGGAGGGGCTTTCATTGGCGGCAGAAATTCCTCGGGGTGAAGCGATCAGGTTTGGGGGTGCCCACGGGTCTTCGGGGGGGGGGATCTGGGACTAGGGTGGGCCATGTGACAAGGAGCTAGAAGCAGTCATCTGTGGTCTCCACAGCTATCTGCATCCAGTCGTGGTGGCGGGGAACGCTGGGCCGCAGGAGGGCAGCCAAGAGGAAGTGGGCGGCACAGACCATCCGGCGGTGAGCGCTTGGGCTCCGTGAGGGGGCTGCAGAGCAGGGAGGTGGGGGAGTTCATTGCCAAGGTTCTCACCCCCAACCCTGTTCTGCCTCCCACCCCCAGGCTCATCCGTGGCTTCATCCTGCGCCATGCCCCCCATTGCCCTGAGAACGCCTTCTTCCTGGACCACGTGCGCACCTCTTTTTTGCTTAACCTGCGGCAGCAGCTGCCCCAGAATATCCTGGACACATCCTGGCCCACGCCCCCACCTGCCCTGCGTGAGGTCTGTGGGCCCTCCCTGCTGAGACAGGGGCCAGCAAAGCACTCGGCAAAGGGGTCTGATTGTCATGTGGCTGGAAGAGCAGTGCAGGGGTGTGTCGTGGGTGCTGGAGCTGAAGAATGAGTTCTCTTGAGAGAAACAACTCAGGAATGGAAGTGTTGTCCAGGTGTTAACCAGAGGCCTAGGGGTGGGCGTGTATTTGATGTCTTCAAAGGGCAGGGGCCAGGCTGCCTAGGTGCTCTGACCTCACTCCTCCCCTCAGGCCTCAGAGCTTCTGCGGGAGCTGTGCGTGAGGAACATGGTGTGGAAGTACTGCCGCAGCATCAGCCCCGAGTGGAAGCAGCAGGTACGGAGAGCAGGAGGCCGGTGGGATCTAGCCAGTGGGGTCGGGGGAGCACAGGCGTGGCACGAAGGGTGCTGCCCGGGGAGTATCTTAACCCCTTTACCGTGCGACTTCAATTGGATGCCAGCGTCTCTTGGGCCTCACGTAGGAAGTGGAAGCTGGAGTAGATTTGGGGTGGCAAATAGGGTTCATCTTGTGATTGATTAGTAGAGACTGCCCCGAACCCCGTGTTGAAAAGACTACATCTTCACCCTGATTGGAACGTCCGCCACGGTTACAGAAACTGACACTGGTGGTTGATGTGCCTTGTATTTGCCAACTCAGTGTTGGATGGTGCTGAAGGACCCCCCAGCTCAGATAATCTGTGGCTTTGAGCATTGGCAGTCAGCCACCTGCAAGATCCCAAGTTGGAGCTGAATCTTAGGGGCATCAGGGCCTGATAGGGTGGGTGTCGTTCCCAAAGTCAGGCCAGCAACGTGACATGCTGTCGTGACCCCGCTGGGGAGCTCTCTGCCTTGGCTGAGGAGGCAGGGAGTGAAGAAGAGGAGGGGCTGAGGGAGTGTTGGTGGCAGGGCTCAGCCTCCTGGCGCTGGGACCAGAGAGTGGGTGAGGGTGGCTGTCTCAGCTCCTGTGATGGTGCCCGCCCCTCACAACATTCTCCCCACTCCCCTGTCTCCTCAGCTGCAGCAAAAGGCGGTGGCCAGTGAGATCTTCAAGGGCAAGAAGGATAATTACCCCCAGAGTGTCCCCAGGCTCTTCATCAGCACGCGGCTCGGTGAGGCCCTGACTTCCTGGCGCTCCAGCCTTCCCTGTGGTGCTGCTCGCTCCTCTGACTTCCCTCTGCCCCGTCTGGGTTGCAGGTGCGGACGAGATCAACCCCAGAGTGCTGCAGGCCCTGGGCTCTGAGCCCATCCAGGTGAGACCCCACCTGCAGCCCTCACTCCAGCAGAGTTCTGCTGCCCCTGGGCTGGAAGGGGGTGAGGGCACAGGCAGAGGATGAGGAGGTTACCCCTGGAGCCCCTTCAGCCTGCGCTCCGTCCCCAGTACGCCGTGCCTGTAGTGAAATACGACCGCAAGGGCTACAAGCCTCGCTCCCGGCAGCTGCTGCTCACGCCCAACGCCGTGGTCATTGTGGAGGACGCCAAAGTCAAGCAGAGGATTGACTACGCCAACCTGACTGGTCAGCCGGAATCCGGGGCTACATGGGGAGCATGGTGGGCCCCTGCTCTGACCCTTGATCTCTGACCTCTGCCCTTGCCCCTCAGGAATCTCTGTCAGCAGCCTGAGTGACAGCCTGTTTGTGCTCCATGTGCAGCGTGAGGACAATAAGCAGAAGGTGCCCTTTGGGGACTGGGAGGTGGGCAGGAGTCCTCTAGCTCTGGGCAGGGCCTGACCCCTTCTCCTCCTGTCTGGGCCCTCCAGGGGGATGTGGTGCTACAGAGTGACCACGTGATTGAGACACTGACCAAGACAGCCCTCAGCGCCGACTGTGTGAACAACATCAACATCAACCAGGGCAGGTGAGGCAGGTGGGGGGCCAGTGGGCCATGTGGGGACAGGGCAGGGATCCACCTTGGGGGTGGGTCTCCGTGAGGAAGTCCTCACGCACTCCTTTCCCTGCAGCATCACGTTTGCAGGGGGCCCTGGCAGGGATGGCATCATCGACTTCACACCTGGCTCTGAGCTGCTCATCACCAAGGCCAAGAACGGGCACCTGGCTGTGGTGAGTGGGGCCAGGCTGGAGCCTCCCACGGCCAAGCCTTCCTTGGCAGTGCTTGGCAGAGCCTGGGCACCCCATCCCTGGGTCTTAATCCAGAGGGCACCATACCACCCTCTTCTTCCCACTGCCCACCTGTGACGGCCAGAGAGAGGGGCCATTTGAGCCCCACGGTGCAGAGGGTCATAAAGATGGCAGCAAGGGGACGATCCAGGGTGACTGGGGCTGTGCCAGGTGGGTGGAGAGGCCCACTCTGGCAGGGTAGCAAGCATGCCTATGGGAGCAGGATCAGTCTCCAAGATGGGGGCCACTACGCCCCAGCCTGCTACTGCCTGTATCCAACCCAGAGTGCACCTCTGTTTGCTTCCCCCTCACCACGTGGGCTTCTCCCTCTGCCCTCACAGGTGGCCCCACGGCTGAATTCTCGGTGATGAAGGTGCCACTGGACCCCGTCCCAACTCCTAATGCTTTGCTTATCTCCTCCCCGCCTTCCCAATTACCAAAGACTCAAGCTTCCAGACAGGGACCCAGGGACACCTCAAAGCCCACCTGCAAACTCCTGCCTCCTGCCTACCCCTCTCTTGAGGAGTAGCAGGGGCCAGAGAGCTACCCCAGGAGTGGGCCAGGCCGGGCCACAGCAATAGGAAAGCTGGGGCCAGAGCAAGCCATGCCGGCCCCGCTGCCGATGCCAAATATTTGAGAGAAGGGAACTTTTGCCGAGGTTTTCTCTGAGATTTTTTGATGCTTTATAGGAAACTGTTTTTTAAAAAAGCCATTTTCCCACCCTAAGACACACTGGATGTGTTTTCCCTGACTCCAACAGGGCAAGGAATGTAGACAAGAGGTTGGGTGGGCCGGGCTCTGGTGCACTCTTCCCTGGCCAGGCCACCCTCTCCTCGTTCCCTTAGCACCTTGTTTTTCTGTCTGTCTGCTGCCTGCCCACCCACTTGTACCTTTTGCAGCCCACTCTGGCCTCCACTTGGGGGCTGAGACCACCCTTGCCTGCCCCCTTCTTCCTGCCTTAAGAATGCCCTTTTCGTATCACCATCCCAGTCTGAGGGCATGCTAGAGTGGGGAAGAGGGTCTTAGGCCATAGAACTTGGAAGACTCTGAGAGATCACCCAGTACAGCCTCCTGATGTTACAGAGCAGAAGACAGACGCCCAAAGAGGGGACTTGTCCAGGGTCATACAGAAGGCTGCAGCAAAACCAGGACTGCAGCCCTGTCCTCAGCATGCCTCACTGCCACTCCCAGGGACAGGGAGCCCCATAAAAAGACAGGTCATATCTTACGTGTGCATCTGGCTCCCCGACCAGCAGTCACCCTCGGGGGCCACCAGGAGGGAGGAGCACTCCTACCTGAGTCCATGCCTTAGGACGACAAACACCGTGCCCACACACTTTGGCCCCATTCAAGGATGTGGGCCTTTACTGGCCTCTGACCCCTCCCTGGCCTGGGAGCCTGGGGAAGGGGCTGGCCTGGGGAGGCGCTGCAAGAGCACCACCTCTTTCTGCTGCTTCCCCCCCTACCCCTAGAGGGCCTGGGGGCTGCCCACCTGCCTCTGTGCCCTCCAGGGGTCTCAGCCACTGCTGACACTTCTGCAATCCAGAGAAACACTAAATAAAGCAATATGTGTTTGCCAACATGGTCTCCTTGTGGATATTAGGAATGGAAGAAGGCCCCTACAAGACAACCAAGGGTTTTGTATTGCATCTGTGCCTCGTCCCCAGAAGGAAGGAGGCAGAGCTCCTACCCAGGGGGACAGGGCAGGAGTGACCAGTAGCTGCATGACAAACTCACTGTCACTGATGGTCTGTGTCGGCTGGGGAAAAAGAAGCATCACATGGACCTAGGCCACATGGTCCTCAGCTGGGCAAGCTGAGCTGGTGGACAGAAACGCAGCCCAGTGCAAGCAGTTCAGGCACCAGGGCACACTGATGAGAGACTGGCTCAGGCTGGAGGGGTAGTAAGCATTTCATAGAGAAGATGAAGGTGAGTCTCAAAGGATTATCCCCTAGCTCAAATTCTGTTGCAAGTGACAAACTCAGTCCAAACTGGCTCAGGGCATTTATTAGCACTGGCAACTTAATAGTCCCAGGGTAGGGCTGCTTCCAGGTGTTCAGACAACATTGTCAGGAAAGTGTCTGGAACCATCCCTTGGCTCAGCCTTCCTCTATGGTGGCTGCTTTCTTAAGCACGTTCTTACCTTGTGGTGAGGCTGCATCAACAGCCACCAGCCACTTCGGGCTTTCATTCTACAAGTTTAGCATTGGATGCAGAGAGAGAGTCGAGATTCTCTGGACCAATTTGAATGAGGTGCTCTGCCCTGACCCAACCATTGTAGTTGGGGAAAGGGGTGTGCCCTGATTGGCCAGGCCTAGGCCACATGCCCACCCCTGCAGACAGAAGCTATCTGAACCACACCGGAAACTGCAAGGACCAAAAGTGAGAGTGGACGACTCCCCCAAAGCAAACCAGAGTGTTGCCTCCAGAAGCAGGAGAATGACTGCTGCAACCACAGAGCTCCTCGGCAGATGGCTATGAGCGTTCCCAAGAGGGAGGTGCACTGTGGAAGGAAGGAATGGTGCATGTGGGGCTTGGAGGCAAGGAAAGGTTTAGTTTGGGGTCAGGCTACCTGCCCGAGGAGTCTAGATCTGTCACCCAGGGCAGAAGTTCTCAAAGAATGAGACACCATGCAATGTATGACTATCTGGGGCTTGACACTATCCTATGAGAACACCTAGATTTTGATACCTCCCCCCAAGGTTAGTTTACAGAAGGATGAAAGCACCACAATAATTTGTCCACGCTATCAGTCCTAACAGTGGCTCCAAGAACTTGATAGATAAGATAAGCATTGAGTTAGGTGCAATTACCAGCTTTATAACTGTAACAACACTCTTCTCTCTAGCACATTGGAACACGTGTGAGAGTGATGTCACAGACATAACCCAGATGTCAGCTGAGCACACTCTGTCCTTCTGAGAGGTAACCAAGAATGGTTTGCGCCCTGAGCTCACATCCTGATGGAAGTCCAATGCCCTCCAAGACATATCTGCCAGTTGTAGGAAGTTAAATTTTGGCTCTGGACAAGAGCTGCCACCAGACTCTGCATTCCTTTATTCCTTCGTGCAACCAGTATTTACCGAATTGAATGCCTACCATGTGCTCAGACCTCTGCTAGGCATTTGGGATATCGCAGGAACAACATTTATGGAGCTTACATTCCAGGGGGGAAGAGACAACACATAAATAAACAAAATATGTAATATATTAGCAGGAGATAAATGCTAGGAAACTAAATAAAGCAGAGAAGAGGAGAGGGAATGTTGGTGTGTGGTTTGCAGTTTCAAATGGGCTGGTCAGGGAAGGCCTCACTGAGGAGGCAACATTGGGACAGAGACCTGAAGGAGGAGGGAAGGTGACCACGGAACCTCTGGAACAGGAGTGGTCCAGGCAGGGGGCACAGGAAGCCCGAAGCCCTTGAGGAATATGGGGGCTTATTAGAGGACAAGTAGGAAGGTCAGTGGGGCTGGAGGTGAGTGAGCAGGTGGAGAAGAGAAGATGGTGCACTTGCCTCTTACCTCCTTCAGATGTTCTCGAATTTTCTCCACTCCATGAAGACAGAGACAAGGAAATTGGCACTTTCTCCCTGATTCCGTCCCCCAAAAGGCATTTGTGTGAGCAGCTTTCCTAAAAGATGAGGGCAATGAGGAAACGAGGGGGGTTTACACTGCAGCAAAGCAAATAACCCATTCTCAGTCCTACAGCCATGTCACCACTGGGAACATCTTTCTAGAAAAGTCCGGACTCTTGCCTGCTTTCCGAGCCCTCTCTCCATCCTGAGACCCTCCTTGGAGTCCCCTCACATTCCTCCAGCCCAGTTTTCCCCTGACATCTGCTTCCACACCCTACCTTTGCACATTTTAAGACTGGTCCTTGTCTCTGCAAAATGAAGGGCTACCCCTTGCGGGCTGGGGCATCCCTTTTTCATAGTCTAGAAACTCCATCAGAGACTTGGACATTTCCCTGTCTCCATATGAGGATGAGAACAGGGCAGAAGTGTATCTTCCCACTAAGACAAACTGTGCCTGCACACACTCACCACCTTTTCTTTCTCTTTTTCTCTCACACACACTTTGGAAGGTGACACTGTCAGTTTTCTCTTTAAATAGCAATTTTTGTCATCTTGATACAAATAATTTTCTTTCTGCTTACTTTTTTGTTTAAAGGAAAAGTGGGACTAAGTAGCCCCATTCCAGAACATTCCATTTACATAGTACCCTGAAGATAGGCAATACGTAGCTGTATGATGCCGCTCTGGTTCCGTTGGGGGACACAGAACAGGCAGCCAAGCGGGTTATTGACCTCCGGCGTCTCCTCCATTGCTAATATAAAGAACGTCTTTCTTTGGTCAGGAGAGTGGGGCGTAGGGAGTGGTATTTTCCTCTTGGACAGGGCAGCCTTCCATTCTTTTCCGCTTTCAGATCCGCTTCTCCTTCAGATGCCTCCCTTCTCTGTGCCCTGCTTCCCACCCCATCCCAAACACTCCAGGAGCTTCCCTGAGGCTGGAGGTCGGTCACTTTGAAGGGCAGGTCTCAGGCTTAACGGGGGGCAAAAGGAGCGTTGCAGCTGCAAAGCCTGCGAGGGAAGCGCCGGGAGGAGGCGCAGAAAAGAAAGGGGGGAGGGGAAGGTGGCGCTGCCGACTGCTCGGCCCGAGGCGTCTCCTACTGCTGCCTTGGCGGCCTCCGGGTTGGCGGATTCCCGGTGCTCTGAGGAAGGGCACACTAGAGCGGCTGCCTGACAATCTCCTTGCCTGTTTTCCAGCTCAGTCATGATTTCTTCTTCTTTTATTTTTTATTGTAAAGAGACGGGGAAGGGGCGTCGCCATCGCAGCCGTCGCCTCGGAGCGCCGGGGGCGGGGGGCTGGGCGGAGGGAGGAGGGGCGGCCGCGCGCGGGGCTGGGCGGCGTCGCCCCTCTGAAGTATGCTTTGACAAGAAAAAAAAAATTTAAACATTAAAAAAAGAAAAGGGAGAGAGACTCGGTCTCACTACGTTGCCCAGGCTAGTGTTGAATTCCCGGGTTTAAGCGATCCTCCTGTCTGAGCCTCCGAGTAGCTGGATCACAGGCGCGAGCCACCAAGCCTGGCTCCTTAGTCTTCCTGTAAAATATTTTTTCTTGTCATTTCCACGTGCCCTAGGGAGAAGAGTTGGAGGTTCGGCTTTGGAACCTCACAGGCAGCCTCTGGGTGAGGTCCTGTCTCAAAGCTCTGCCATCCTGGGGCATGAAGAGCAAGGCACTCCTCTTTCCCAAAGACCCGGAATTCACACCGCGATGGCTTCTGCTGCGATGGCTTCTGCTGCTGGCTCTTGGTGACGCGCAGTGACTAAGCCAGGGTCATGGTGAGTCACTCACAGCAGGGAAGGTGCCCTTGTCCCAGCCCCACTTCCCAGAGCAGCCCAAGGATGTGTGAGGTGGGTCCAAAAGAGCTGTGCTATTCATTAGCCCATAATCCAGTGCTGGATGATTTTTTAAAATGCAGATTTATGCCATCTCCCCTTCCAATTCCTATCCCAGAAATGTGAAGATATAGCTGAGTGACCATAGCTCTCTCCTTCTTGGATTTGAATCCCAGCTCCTCACTCAGCCACTGAATATCTCCGGACAAGTTATTTAAACTCTCTGAGCTTTAGTGTTCTCATCTGTAAAATGGGCATAGTTGTAATATACTGGCTCATAAGGTTATTGAGAGGATTCAGTGAGATTATACATATAAAGGCAGTCAGCACCATGCCTGGCAGGTAGCAACCCCTAAATAAATAATACCTCTTATTATATTCTTTTTTTTTTTCTATTTCTGAGACAGAGTCTCGCTCAGTCACTCTGGGTAGAGTGCTATGGCGTCAGCTTTGCTCACAGCAACCTCAAACTCCTGGGCTCAAGCAATCCTCCTGCCTCAGCCTCCCAAGTAGCTGGGACTACAGGCTCTGGCCACCATGCCCGGCTAATTTTTTGTTTCTATTTTTAGTTGATCGGCTAATTTTTTCCATTTTTAGTAGAGATGGGGTCTTGCTCTTGCTTAGGCTGGTCTTGAACCACCTGACCTCAAGTGATCCTCCCGCCTCAGCCTCCCAGAATGCTAGAATTACAGGCGTGAGCCACTGTGCCTGGCCTTATTATGCTCTTGTCTGGCTGTCTCTAGCATGTGGAGTATCCCCTAGGCTAGATGCTTGGACTTTGAGTAACTCCAGCATGGGACATAGACCTGTAATTGAAAAATTACAGTACAATGGGAAGAGCTACAATAGGAATAATATGGACACAGCGCTGTTGATGCAGAGAGGTGATGGGGTGGTCAGGAAAGGGAAGACATTTGACTTTGGGATCCCCAAGGGGGACAAAGAGCATTCTAGGAAGAAGAAATATAGGATGAGACTGTGGAGCCAGGTGCAGTGGCTTGTGTTTATAGATCCAGCTACTCTTGGGAGGCTGAGGTAGGAGGATCCCTTGAGTCCAGGAGTTAGAGTCAAGCCTGGAAAAGTTTTTTTTATTATTACTAAAAAAAAAAAAAATGAGACTGTGGCCCAGTTTTCTGCTGTGAGCTAAACTGGGAGTTCTAACACCTGAAAACTATTGAAAGTT